ATTGGTAATAACTCCATGGTGGAATCTACTGGAGCAGCTGAGTACCTGCTTTGGGTATGTGGTCTACTTCCCGAATATAAGGAACAACTTTGGGAATGGTCTCTAGTTTATGGCACACTTGAACCCTGCATGTAGCCTGCCATGCTCTGCTGACCTTGGAACTTTCAATGGACTTGAATTAATGACTTGCTATGTGGTTTGGTAACATTGGGACTGTGCCCTTTTATTTGCCAACCTTGGGCTTGTCAGTCTCAGCAGCCAATAGCTATTTGAGTGAAGAAAAGCCTCCAGCTTCAGTGGGCTGGAGCAGGAGGCAAAGTTGAAGCCCAGGGTTGAGGGGCTTTCACCCAGCCTTTGAATTTGGACTTAAAGCCTCCAAACTGGAAGAGAATAAACTCCTGTTTATTAAAGCCATTCCCATTGTGGCATATTCCTGCCAGAGCAGCATTAGGTAACCAGAACACTACCCTAAGAGATTCTGATCCCTTATAGCTAGGATGGGGCCCAGAAATATGTATTTGTTAAATGTGGTCTGGTATTCTGATATCTCACTGCAAGGCATAACCCCTCCCCCAGGTTGAGAGCCATCAAGCTAGAGCAGTGATTCATGAATGCTTCAAAAATAAATGTCTCCCCACTATCAAATAGGCAAATTACAGAGTCCAGCTGAAATTAAATAATTGCCATCTTTTTCTCTTCCATGCAATTCATCTACACATACTCTTCTTAGAGCCACATTTAAAAGCACCACAATACAGGGAAAAAAAAACTTAGGAAGATAGAGATAATAATTAGACTTGCAATCACAAACACAGAACTAGAAGAAAGGTGCAAGACACCTTGCCCGTTTTTTCCAGAAGGGATAATATACAACTGAGATGAGATTGATGGCTATTAAGGAGGAGGACTGCAAAACCTCCTTCGCTTACTTTTCCAAAATCTAACAGTCCTCCAGCACAAGCAATCCTTTTGTATCCTTAAATCTTGCCTGCTCGGCTTCAGTCCATTTCTGTCCTTTGTTAAAACAAAGAAACAGCCAAGCTCCCTCCACATAAAAATCTTTCAGAAACTTTTAAGAGGGGGAGGGTTGGCTACCAAGCTCATACACATTTGCTTCTCAAGGAAAATACAGACTCATACTGGTTATGCACCACTGGGAGGCAGGAACTGATAACTGTATAGGATTTGAACTTGAGGGGTATTTACAAGTGATAACTTCAAGTTACACTTCATCAACAACGCAGCAGATCTGACACAAGGCCTCACTTTACCATCTTTCCTATTCTACTACACTGCAGAGACTCCCCACCCCTTGAAAAAGCAGAACAAAAACCCCAGCCCTCATTTACTCTCTCTGTAGTAATTTCCATCCCCATCTCCACTGGCTTTTAACCATATCCAGGCCTCTTTCTGAATTAAAACATCTTCAATGAGTAGCACTTTTTGCACTTCCCCATCTCTCCTATGCCTTTCACACCTAAATGGGCTGCATCTCTACTTCTTTCTTGCCTTTTTATTGTTTCTAACTTTATTATTATTTAACTGGAAAAAAAAAAGAAAACTCACTGCCATCAAGTCGATTTCGACTCATACCAACCTCCATTGGGTTTCCAAGGCTATAAATCTTTACCGAAGTAGACTGCCTTGTCTTCCTTCTGTGGAATGGCTGGTGGGTTTGAACCACTGACCTTCTGGTTAGGAGCCTAATGCCTTACCCACTACACCACGAGAGCTCCTTTTGCCATCTAAAGAGGTCACAAATTCCTCCTGACCATTTCTTATTCTTGTTGACTTCCAAGTTTACCCCCACTGTATGACACCTTTAAAATGTTCTCATTCATTTATTTAACAAATGTTCATTTAGTATTTATTGTACACCTTACACTATACTAAGCAGTGTGATGTAATGGAAATAAGAACATGACCTTCATTTTCTAAAAAATGAAGACATACATAAGAGAATTAGAGATTAGTTCCAAGGTAGTGTGGCCAGTTGAGAAGGCCCAGTGAATACAGAATTGGCCAAAAAATAAGTGTAGAATTTGGTGAAAATGAGGAAGAAGGCAATTTTAGATGAAAGAAACAGTATGATTCAAAGCAGCAGGCCATCTGAGGTAAAAGGTACATAAAAAAGGCCCTTTGTCACTTTCTCTTTTGCCCCTTAAAATGGCATATGCCTTTTTGTCCTCAAATTTTATTTAAGAATTAGTTATCTGTGAATCAGAGCTGTTACCATGATTACACACAGTCACCACAAATTAGGCAGCTCATGAGGCATGATACACCAGGGCCTATGTGGGTACCACAAGGCAGGATTTTAGAATACTTACTTCAGTAAGGAGTGTGGGAAGTTAGGCATTTTTAGGGTACCAGGCACACAAAGACAGCTAATACGTTCAAGGGTCATTCAACTTCATCTACGTATTTCCATCATACAAAGCTCTAGGATAGACCAAGCCATTTATAGCAGTTTGAAGCACTGAATTTGAGATGGGGGATGTGTAATGGTGATAGCAGGGGTGCCCCTTTTCCCACTCTTTCCATGGTGAGTTCTCCTCCTCTTGCCCCAGGACTCAAGCATCCACTCCTCTGTGAAGTCTTCCCTAATTCCCCTAAGCAGATATTAGGGCCCCTTCCTTTTGCTTCCATTAACACTTTATGCATACTTCCAGGATAGCACTTATCATGTTGTTGTTGTTATGTGCCATCGAGTTGGCCCCAACTCATAGTGACCCCTCCTTGGGTTTCCGAGGCAGTATTACTACGGAAGTAGGATTGCCCAACCTTCCTTCCGAGGAGTGGCTGGTGGGTTTGAACCGCCAGCCGTCTGGTTAGCAGGCAAGTGACTTAGCCACTATGCTACCAGAGCTCCCAGCACTTATCATACCACTGCTATAATTATTTGTTTACATGTCTGACTGGTCATAAGCTCTTTGATGGTAAGGCCTTTTATCACTGATTCCATACATATTCAGCATTCAACAAACATTTGTTGAATACATTAATGATGAATGACTTGGGCTCCATAGAATGACGACCATACCTTTCGGATTCCAGACCAAAATTACCATAAGTCCTAACACTATTTGAAGGCCAAATACCTATTATGCAGTTCTACTACTCTTGGCCAGCACAAGAAGCCAAAGATATGAGAAGTTTGTTCTAATAGTATTGGTCATGGCCAAGTTACCAGCCAAGAAAATAAGGGTTTACAGTACTAAGAATGGGAGCTCTGGTACCATACTGCCTAAGGCATTTGACTGCTAACCAGAAGGCTGACAGTTCAAACCCACCAGGCACGCCTCGGAAGGAAGACTGGGCAATGTACTTCTGTAGTGATACCTCCTCAGAAACCCAAGGAGGGGTCGCTATGAGTTGGATCCGACTCAAAGGCAATGAGTTTGGTTTTTTTGATTGAGTACTAAGAATGATCTAACACAACAAATGAGCCAACAGAATCAAATCTAAGACAGTTTCTAAGTTTCAGGCTTGTTCTCTTTACTCTGGAAAACAGTACGAGCAATGGTTAAGAGTCCTTGTTGTGAGGTGCCATGGAATCAGTTCCAACTCACAGCAATCCTACGTACAACAGAATTAAACACTGCCTGGTCCTGTGCCAGCCTCACAATCATTCCTGTGTTTTGAGCCTACTGTTGCAGCGCGTGTCAATCCTAGGAAGAAGGACCTGGCAATCTACTTTTTAAAAAATTAGCCAGTTAAAAACCTTATGAATAAATTCCTTAGAAGGGCCAGTATCTCCACTGCCATAGAACTTTGTGGTTAATTTTGATTCAGTACAACCTCTGCTGAAATATCCAGGAAAACTGTTCACTTTCTGACCAAATCCAATTAAAGTTCTGCTAAGGGACAGGGATCTTTATTTAGTGCTCCCAGAATCTGCCATGTTGTACATTAGCACTCTAAATCATTCCTCACCAGGTCTACTCATCTTTAAAGAGCCACAAGAAAGGCAATAAAATGCTCTATCTCAAATGCCTCTTCCTATAGCAATTCTGAACTACCCAGGCTATTGGTGTTTACAAGCTGCTAAAAAGAAGTCTAATCTGATCCTGTGGGAACAAAGCCCTGGATTCCCTCAGGGATTAAAAAAAAATTTAGTCTACTTTGATATTTCTAAAGCTGTGGGACTCACAAAGCTGAAGAAAGTATAAGACCAGTGCTATTGTTATTGTTAGGTACCCTCCAGTATGCAGACTAGCTAAAGCAAATGGAAGAAATTCTGAAGCAAAAGAGCTGAACAGAAGATTTCAAAGGGAGACTCGAGAAGATAATGAATGACCAGTGAAGGAATGGAATAGGACTTGGCCTCTGAGGAACATCTGCAGCTAGGTGGGATTTGGGTCTTGGTTTCCAGTGAATGAGATACGCATTGTTCAAGGGCAAACCAGGAGCACTATTCTGCTGGCAGCCATCTGGCTCCTTGAATGTTATCATTCCTAAGAAGCCAAGAAGTATCAGTTAATTTAGGGTTCTTAGAGACAAATTACTTTGTTTTGACCCTAAGCAAGGGCATTTGCCAAGCCAGTTCCTCAGACTTGGTGTTTTAACATATTTCTTTCTACTACTATAGTTCTTACATAATTCCAGCTGTGACACTAACACCTGCAGCATTAGTCACAGCTTAGGCCTTAGCAGTGTATGTTCCACTCTCTTCTTCCAAGAAGGGAAACTGAGTCATCATGTATCAACTGGCTTCCCGAAACAGAAAGTTAGTTTGTAGTGAGGCCATGCTTGAGTTCGGGATACACTCCTCCTATTCACCTCTTCTCATGAATCAACATACCCACCTCTGCTGTTCTTCCTTCAACTTAAAACTGAATCAATGCCTACACGAGGGGCAGAGATGGGCACACTTGATTCTTTAGAGTCAACCGGAGTTCCTAGTTCTTCTCTTTCCCAAGAAAGAGGAAGGAGAGAGGGGAACATGGATCAGGGGAGGGGAAGGATGAAAAAGGGTAGCTCCCAATAATAGAACTCACCTTAGAGCTGAGGTCCTCTCGCCGGTTTCCTGCCTTACTCCGTCGTAGTTTGATGGATGGGGATCGCAGCAGGTTTTTGATCCGGCTGGTTATGGTTGACCCTTCCACAGCCATCATCAGAAGCCCCTTGGAACAGTCCCTGGCTCCGTCTTAAGACCTGTCTCAACAGGGGCACGGCCTTCCCACTCTGCAGGGCCTTCCAATATGTCCTCTTACTGACCTGAGATGGCAGAAGCCCCCTTAATATTAGAGTAGGTGTCTTACCTCTGCCTAGCTGTGTCAGCAAATCTTACCTCTAGATACTGTCCTCTCACTTCCCTGATAGCACCCTCATCTCTGCCCCCTAAGCCCTGCATGGTTTCTTATAAAGTTGGGAGGTCAAACCCACGAAAAAAAGGTGGGAGGTAAATCCTGGGCCGTGAAGAAATGCCAGGCCCACGCCATCCAGAGGCGTTTAGCTGATGGAATGGGATGGGCCCTACCTAGCAGGTCTGGTGGCTGGTGACTGGTCTCGTCTCCGTTAATTCCCAAATGTTCCCATGACAACTGCAGCGCTCAAGGAAGGAGGCCGCCGAGGCCACCGGAGAGTTCCACAGGCGCCCTGGGCACCTGCGCTGGCGGCCGCAGGGACACTTGGCGCGACGGACTCACCTTGGCCCAACAACCCGTTCTCCCACAGGAGCCTCCTCCACCCCGACCCTCTGAAGCTCGCTCTCCGCCAGGCACAAGGGCTCTGGAACTTCTCTTTCACAGGCCCTCTTTTACCAACCCTAGAAGCCCCTGTTACTCATCAGCGCCCCCGTGAGGGCCCAGCCTCACCACCCCCGGGGCGCAAGGGCCGCCTCGCTCACAGCGCCCTCAGGCATCGCGCTCGTAGATTTCAGCTCCGCCGCCGCAGCGGCATCAGCAGCTATGGTGGCACGAGCGGCTCAAAACGCGAACTACCTCCTGGGCCAAACTCTAGGGCCGGGTGGGCGGAGACAAAGTGAGGGGGTGCGGTCTGTGTGCTGGAGAGCTTTTGGTGATCGGACCGCCACCCTTTGCGGGGGCGGAGCCAACGAAAGGGTCTAGGAAGTCGCTAACTTCGGGCTCCGGCATCGCAGATTCCGCACAAGGCAGTGGTGGGTACCGCTACTAGATAAAAGTCAACAGAATATGGCTTCAGAATTGAGAGAACCAGGCCTTTTATGGTATTATCGGGCCTAGTCCCCCAGAGAATAGCTTCCTAGAGCCCTAACGACCACACGATAACCACGCCCCCAGAGTGCATTTGATAGGCTCAAAGGACCATAGCTGAAATTAACTCCTAGCTCAAAATGATAAGATTGAGGTCCAGCCGCTATGCTCTGCTTCCGTCAGTCTCAAGCGGTAGAATTTAAAGCGGTTAGAATGTTTTCTACTTGCGGCCAGACGAGTCAGCCTACGTGGAAATGACTCTTCTGAGTAACTCATTCAGTTGCTAAGAACAGCGTTTTGAACTGGGCGACCTATTGACCTAATGATGGAAGCTGAGGGAGAGTGTGGCCTTGAATAGAACTTCACGCGTGTAGTGGTGAAGACAAGTGAATGTACCAACGTATTTCATGGTCGTCGTCATTCCCACCCCCCCCACCCCCTGCCTCCAGCGTCCCACCACGCTTTCAGCCATAATTAACCAGAATTTTGTTGCTTCAAAGCTTATCCTCAGTCCTGTCAAACTTAGTTAATTCTTTTCCTTGGGACCATTAATTACCAAGATCACAGTCAACCAGGCTAATGCAGTTTTTCTAGCTCTTGAGAGGCGGTGCATGGCAATCCTTTTTTATATACATATTTTACAGGGGTCTCGGCCTTTTATTTTCCAGGAACACCAGAATTTTCCACCTTGTTTCTTCAAGAAATGCCTTATGAAAAGGTTAGCCTAAGCCAAAAGCCCTGGGCACCAAACAGTACATTAAAATGCATTTTATTAAGTAGCAGGATTCTTGTAACTCCCGGAGGGAGAGAACATGTTACCAAAAGAACAAGACCCGCTGCCGTTCAGTCATTCCAGCTCATAGCAACCCTACAGAGGGCAAAATAGAATGCTCCCATATGGTTTCCTAGGCTGTAATCTTTATGGAAGCAGACTGCCACATCTTTCTCCTAGAGTAGCTAGTGTGTTAAAACCCCAACCACTCGGCTAGCAGCTAGGCACTATAACCACTGTGCCACCAAGTCTCCTTATCAAGAAAGGAGTCTAAACCCATTGCTGTGGGTGGGCCTTCACAACCAAGGGCAAAGCAAACACAAACTTGTGTGATGCAGTTATGGATGATAGTAAAAAGGATTAAAGTTCAAAGATTGACACAGATAGCAGACCTCACCTATTAGACCAAATGGCCACCAGAAGTCTGAGACTTCTTTCCCTTTCACTATGTGCAGCAAATGTTATGGAATGTAAAACAAGATTTTCAAAATTATTTCTCAAACCTGGAGGTAGGAAGGTGGAATGTCAAAATAGGGGGTTGCTTCCTTCAACTCCTTGTAGGTCTGATGACTCTCAAGGGAGTAGACACTAAGAATATTGCTAATAAAATCATTAAAAAAAAAAAAAAAAAAAAGGAACAGGTTTGCTGGTCTGATAGTTCAATGGAACCACTCAGACTATGGTCCCTAGTTGCCCTTCAGGTCTGGAACTGAACCCACTCCTGTGGCTTCCAGCCAAACAAAAGGCATATGAGCTGAACATTTAAATAGGTAGATACTCTCCTTGGAGAGATCAATCATGGGAGAATATAAGGGCTGTGTATGCACAAGTCTCAAGAGACAGGAGTGCATGGGATGGAATGACACAGTGAAGAAGTTAACTATGGGGAGGAAATGGGAGGGGAGCTATTGTAGCGTGGTAAATTGTAGTCAATGTCATGAGACACAGTGCATGTGAGCTGCTGTATATAGTGAATTTGATCTGTAAACTTCCGCCCCCCCAAAAAAAGCCTCTCAAAAGACTGCTAATAGCGCCACCTGGTGTCTTGTATGCTGCAGAGCTAAGCAATTGCCACATTCACGCCTGAAACAAGGAAAATAAAAATGTGTTCACCAAAACCAAACCAAACACACTGCTGTGTAATCAATCCGACTCAAAGCGACCCTGCCTTGGGTTTCCGAGGCACCATCACTAGGGAAGTAGATTGCCCAACTTTCCTGGTGGGTTTGAACCGCCAGCCTCTGGTTAGCAGTCAAACGCCTTAGGCACCAAGCCACCAGTATTGACAGGAGTTACCAAATCCTCTCCAAATCACTTTTATGCCCACTAGCAGTTTTCTCACTTACCTTAACCACTCAAGGACAAGTAAATGGGGTTACGAAGAAGCACTGATCATTAAAGCTACCCTGGTTTATACCCTTTGAGAAAATGTTCCCCAAATGACCCTCCCTCATCTGAACCTGACCCTGCAGAGGCAAATCCAAACTTGTTTTCTCTGTTGTTACGTGTCATAGAGTCGGACGCGACTCTTAACGATCCCTCCTTAGGTTTCCAAAGAGGTATCACTACGGAAGTAGAGTGTCCAACCTTCCTTCCGAGGAGTGGCTGGTGGGTTTGAACCTCCAACCTTCCAGCTTTCTCTAAGACGATCTTAAGTGAAATTCAGCTGACAACGATGTAATGAGAGGAGGTAAGTCTGAATCTGGTTATTTTCAGTTTAGGGTTAAACCACACTTGTAATTCTTCACTATTAAGTCTAACCTTTATCGTCTATGTACCAGGTAGCATTTGCTATGACCCTATTGAAAGCTGGTGGTTCTCATACTTCATGAATTCCTCAGAAAATGAAAGCTACAGGTCCAGTGTGAACAGGAGTGTTATTTCCTTTTCTGCACTTAGAATTAAGTTTAAAAATGCAGCTCTTTTTTAAGTATTTCACCATCCATGTGCTATTTCACTTTCTATTCTGCTCATCTGTCCTTTACATGTATACATGGTATTTATCAAGAATCTCAAATTCTAGGTATCTGGGAAGAGAGGTATAGTTGTGTTTAGTAGTAAGTTCATTAGGTAAGATTTTTAAATTCACCCTAGGCTTAACATACAAATAAAGTCTAATTAGAAAATCCTGGAAAACTTACAGGCTGAACATCTGCTCATCAATCCACACATTTATAGAGCACCCTGCATACAAGACCCCACAGGACAGCTGAGAACAATGTGTGCAAGTAGAAATAGGAGGGATCTCAAAACACCACTTCCAAGACTGCTTTCCTACTTAACAAAGTTTCTTCTAACCAAGTTTATAATGATAAAAAAAAATCTGCAGAGCTTAGATTTGAATCTCAAAATTCCCAACTCATCCTGATTTAGCCTTCCATTTCTCCATAACAGATATCCATCATTACTCAACACTTCTATTATTCCTCAACACGTAGGTACCTTTATGGAATGGTGGTAGTTCACTCAAATTTAATACAGATGCGTCTCCGTTTAAAAGTTGCATATACCAAATTATTTTCTAATAATTTCAAAGATATACTTTTAACTGATTTTTTTTCCCTCCAAATGGCAGTGACTAAAATTTTTCTGCATCAAGCCATTTGTGTCCATGTAAAGTTTCATTAAACATGGAAGTACTGATAACTTTACAGCACTTTCTTCAAAAATAATTTCATTCAAGAAATGTTTTTGATTTTTATCACTCTAACAGTATCTTAAAATATGCTACATACACTGCATTGTTCTTATATTCTTGTTTTTGTTTAACTTCTGGGAGGTGAGGGGCAAACATTATCACTTTTTTTATCTTCAAAGTACACTTAGCTCTCAATTCACTTCACCTGGTTCCAATTCAAATCTCTCACCCATTACAGTTAGGAAAAAATACTACCTGTAACTACTAAACCCCTGCTCCCAAAATACATGGATTGTCTGCTTTTCTGTGTTCAAGCCATTCTGAAACTTGTTATAAAAAGGCCTAGCATCAGTTATTTCATCCATAATTCTGGGGAATAAAACTACTGCGTTTGATATATGCAAAATAAACAATTTATATGAAGTTTATAGACCTGGATTTGATCTGTTAGTGACCTTAAGCAAATTAAACCCACTGCCATCAAATTGTTTCCAACTCAAAGCAACCCTATTAAGACAGAGTAGAGCTGCCACAGAGGTTTCCAAAGCTGTAAAGCTTTCCAGAAGCAGACTGCTTCACCTTTCTCCTGTGGATCAGCTGGTGGGTTTGAACCACTGACCTTCTGGTTAGGAGCCTAATACTTTCACCACAGCACCACCAGAGCTGCTTTAAGTAGATTAGTATAGCTCAATGTTTAAAAAAAAAACTAGTTAAAACTTTAGTATAAATTATGACACTAGTTAACAGTATTCTTGCTTTAAGATATCTATAGTCCTCAGCCACTAGATTGTGATTTATGAGCTTTGTTAGTACCCACGTAATAGCTATATTGCTTTACACACATTCGTACTGAGGCTAACCTTTCTTCACTGCAGAACACTTCCTGAGACAGAATTAGCCATCAAAATGTACAAAATTTTGAAGTCTCCATAGAAAACATGGTAACACAGATTGAAAAAAAAATACCCCCAAATGGCATGTCAGAAACTTTGAGGACAGAAAGGAATTCCTATGCTAGTACTACTTCAGTAGCATCTCTACTCCCAACTGGGCACAAATCTTCCAACGCCAAATCCCGCTTTAATTATTTTAATTGATTTATTTCAGATTTATACATTCCGCCTCTCAGCTGCCACATTTCTTCTGTTCTCAGGTTTCTAAAAAAATAGTCATTTTTCAAAAGCAGAAAAGAAAAGATATATATTTAATATATAAAAGAAAAAGCTAAATTTGACAATTATATTCTTAAAAACATTCCATTTATTTACAGATGTATAAAAAGGCGAATTATTGGTCTACTGAGATCATGCTTCTTAGAGTTAGGGTGAGAGCCCACTTCCTCTAGATTCCTCAACTCCTCTCTCACTCAACTACATTTTTCATAATCACACCTGTAATTTTCATAGATTAGTTTCTCCTAGAGAAGATTAAAGGGTAGGATTTTTTGGAGATTTTTGTTTTCTGTCAAGACTGCAGGACTGTTCTGTAGACTAAGCCTTCCTCAAACCTACCCTGAGACTCCTAATTTGAAATGGTCTTGAGAACACCCTAACTTGGGGGTTTGCAGTAAAATCTGCAGCTTTTCCTAACCACCTGGAATCATCTCTCATTTCCATCTTCGTATATCATAAACAGAGCCAAATATCCTCCAGTCAACAATAGATTTTTTTTTTCAAAAAAGGAAACCATGTTCAGAAGCTAAAATGGTCCTTCTTTTCCTGAGGATTGTTTGCTCACTTGCCTACTCCTTGGCTGACCCTCAAAAGCCACAAGAGCCTTGGGAAGTCAGGAGGAAATGTGGGGAAGAGACAAGCAAGGATATAATGGGAAACTGCTATACCTGGATTAACGTACTAGCATCTCCAAGGACAATTACTAGGAGGGGAGAAAGGAGCTGGAATCCTTGGCTAAGGCATTCGATGAAATCTGCTGGGTAAAGAGAAGTGGGTGGATAATGATAAGCTGAGGGGCGTGCTACACCTACTTCAAGCTTCTTCAGTAACCTTCAGAGCAGCTCTAGGAAGATGAGTAGCACAAAACCAAGAAAAAATATGCTCCCACTGCAATCTGCAGAGAAAGCATTTTCCTTATCCTTCTCAATCTGTTGATTATCAAGTTAACAGGGAACCAACCGTGGAAGTAGTAATTCACTGGCTAAAATCATAACCAAAGTTGGTCTCACAACCTAAGTCTGAAGATATGCTGAGTAGATTTGGGATAAAGGCGGCAGGGGATGTAGAAGAAATAGCATCACCTAGGCACAGCCCAGGCACTGGAAGCTCTTGTGTTAAGTGTTTCACACACAAGCAAATCCTGTCAATGAAGACAGAACAGGGGTTACATTCCAAAATATAATTATATAAGAAAGGCAAAATGCAGCAGCTAAATCCCAGTCTATACATTTTCAGAATAACAATTCTTGCCCCCAGGAGTTTCCAAGAGACCCCTCCTCAAGTGCACCATGATTATTTACAAACTAGATAGGAAACATCATTTCTATACTCAATACAAATCTCATCTTCTAGGTTGAAAACTTCAGCCTTTGAGAAATCTATGAAAACAACTATACAAAAATATAAATATCTTTACAGGCTGTCAGTCCTTCATACTCTGACAGCTAATGAGTGAAAAACCTCTACAGATCATTGAATCCATGGTAGCAGATAATAAAAAATATATCTTGTGATTCAAATACTGCCTTATTCCCCTGGTAAAGAGTGCCTACTGTGACTTTTCTTTTCTTTACATCCTGTGCAGGTTAATAGTGAATGAAACCATCAAGCACCAGGAGACTGGTTTGATTTGGGAAACATCCAGCTCCACTTTTTTTTTTTTTTTTTTGGCCACTGTCTCTGGACTGAAGAGGGAATGCTGTCATTTGAGCTATCTCTTAAGTGACATAATTTGTGAAAGGGGCAGGGCTCTCTGTCTACCTCCAAAATAAATATCCCAAGTAGAAATCCTTGGAACTATGAAACAGTCTTTTCAAAAACTTTGTGGGTTTTGACAATAAGGGAGAACTTTTTTTTTTTTAAACATCTCAAAATAACTTAATGGTAAACATTAAAAGCATCCCTATTTTACCAAAAGACTTGAATTTATAATTCTGATTGAAATGGTGAGAAAATGGAAGCTAAGTGGGATTAAAAAGAAAAAATTTTGCTGAACGACACAAGTCCTTCACTTTGGTTTTCATGGTACCCATTCTCTCTCTCCTCCCTATGCTTGAAACACCAACCAAAATACTATCTTTTCTGGATCCCTTTGTACAAGCACATAACATTCCTTGGATTTCACATTTACTACCAGCTACAGCTCATAGCAACTCCTAAGTCTCAAGCAGCTTTTCTTCTAGGAGGGAAGAAACAGGGACCACTGTATGGACTGGGAGTCTTGTTATCAATTCCTTGGGTAAGAGGGGCACCTCATGTTCAGTAATGGATCACATCTTCTTAGAGAGGATGAGGGGACCCAGCACCACAAGTGAGGTAACACATTTTAACATGATCAGAATTTCATAGTAGTAATTTCTTATAATGGGGTCAGCACCCTACCCCCTTTCTCCATTACTGCATCTTGAAAGCCAAGGATCATAGTTCCATGACACAAACAGATGCCTACAGAGAAAGGAGGTGAGATTCAATTTCCCCTCACAGCCTGGCTTCTGCCTGAGGACAAGTAAGTTCATATCCCTGTAGAACTTGGTGAGGTCCCAGAGTTGCCCAATTTCGCCACAATAGGTGCCAGCGTGGGCATCACTTTGCTCTCCCGGCCTTCCTGGTCATTCCCTGTTAAGTTCGTTTTGTGTCCAACTGACCCAATTTTGGCAGCCACAGGTGCTAAACAAGGCATTACCTTGAGACTCTGACTATCTGCATCACTGGAAGGATTAGCTACTTTTAAACCTAGAGGTGCCAACTTTGGCATAGGCCTCCACAAAGTATCTGAGCTGCTGTTCTCCAGGCCAGTCTTCATGTGTAGGATGGGAGGTGAGGACACACTTTCAGGCTCTGCAGGGAGGCTAGATATATTCTTCCCTCCTTCACTGGCTTTCTTGTGGGAAAGGTGGGACTCCTTTACCTCGGGGTCAATAACAATCTTAAGTACATCTGTCTCAGAGGCTGGTTCTGCAAGCGGTTTTTCATTCTCTGAAAGGTCATCATCTTCCAAGTGCAAAAGGAGTGGACTGATGGGGTCGCTCCCACCTTGCACATCAGGCAACTCTTTCAAACCAGTTCCCAAGTGGTCAACTTGGAAAGTTCCTCTGTTTCCAGGGGGAAGCTTACTGATAAAAGCCCGTCGCACATCCCCTGGGAACTCTGTACCCCTAGGGCTGGGCAGTTCAGCCAGGCCAACAGAGTCATCATTGAGTTGTTGATTAAGAAAGGCAATCTCATTGAGCAGTGAAGTCAGTGTCTCATCAGTGTCATCCTCATCTTCTATGTTAGTGAGCACTTCACTGGGATCCAGTGCTGCTTCCTCAATAGCAGATGCTACCTTTCTCAGTTCCAGCTCTATGCTTGAGTCCTTGAGATCTTTCATCTTTAATTTATGAAACGGAGATTCTTTTGGCTTCAGTCTCTCCCCTCTTGATTCATTCTCTTTCCATTTATATTGGATCCCTCTTGTTGTATCACCAGAAATCTTTTTAGGTAAAAGCTCTGGTGCTTCCTGAATACTGGAAACATCAATTATTTGTGGAAAACCAGACTCTTTATTTGCCAGAAAAACCTGTGTTGGACTCAGTGTCATTCTGCCATCTCTATGGCTGCCTCTAGAAGAGAGTCTACTTGAATCTTCAAAGGAGTTATTTTCACTTCTGATGGTATCTTTCAGATGGTCAGGTGGCTTGCTGTCAGAAACTTCATGAGGATATCTGCTGCCACTCATATCTACTAACCCTTCCTCTGTGGCCAACGATGTTACATTAACAATTCTTGGCATCATAAATAAGTCATCATTTTCTGGGGGGAAAAAAATGAACAATTATGTTTTATATCTGAAGTGGTGGCATCTCTCCCCTTAAATCACACCCAATGACCATCTCAGGGAATTGTAGTTAAAATTCACCAGTTTACTTTTACCAAGAAGATGAAGAAAAGATTAGTTCTTCAAATTATGAAACTAACCTAACAAGAAAATAGTCAAGTAAAATCTAGCCAAAAGACTCTTTTGATATTCCATTAAGAAAAGTTCCATTTAATAATTATGTAGAAATATTCCCCAAGTTAATTCTTTATTCTGAAGCAGAAATGCATCTTCATTCTGTTCACCCAATTAACTGCTACTCTGCGAGGGAGTGAAAGGAAAAGTGGGCAATCTACTTCTGTAAAAATTTACTGCCTCAGAAACCCAAAGTGGGTCACACTATGAGTCGGAATCGACTCAATGGCAATGAGTTTGGTTGTGATTTTCTGAGAAGGAAATGCAGGGCTAGAACTGGCACTATAAGAAAAATGACTGCTCTTTCATACTGGGTTTAGCAACAGACAGACAAGGAACTGCTAGATGGCAATGGCAACAAAGTAGGATCTAAACACAGGTAAGGATATCTTGAAGTCCCTGGGTGGCGCCAAATAGTTTGGTGGTTTGAACCCACCCCCAGCAAAGCTGTGGAAGAAAAGCCTGGCAATCTACTTTCATAGATTACAGCCAAGAAAACCCTATGGAACAGTTCTAATCTATACTACATGAGACCATCATGAACCAGAACTGATTCAACAGCAATGGGTTTGGTTTTTAGTTTTTAAAGATAACTTTTACCTTAATATAAACGTAGGTGCCTAGAACCTAAATCATTAAAATGAGATTTTCTTTTTAACTCCCATACCTCCTACCCAAAAAAGGAGTGGTGTTCAAACTGAATCCAGCTGGTAACATTAAGAGTACACCATCTCTAAGTACAACACAAATATTTGCTAAGTATTTGTCAACACCAAGCGCTAAAACAATGACTTCTCAACATCTTCCTTTCACTTTGGCATCTTTTAATTTTTTTTCCTATTTAGAACTAACTACAGTTCATAAGGAGCTCTGGTGGCTCAGTGCCTAAAGCATATGACTGCTAACCAGAAGGCTGATGGTTCAAACCCATCAGCCACTCCATGGAAGGAAGATGGGGCAATCCACTTCCATAAAGATTTACCACCTCCGAAACCTAATGGAAGATGCTTTGAGTTGAAACTGACTCTCAATGGCTATGGGTTTGGGTTTTTTTTGTTTTACAGTTCACTAACTAGTTCCCATTCCCATGTAAAACAGACCAATCAATACCATAGATCAAGCCCAATGTTCTAAAACGACAGTCATCTCCAATCAAGGCGAATGCCAGCATAACAGCTCTTTATCATTACTGCAAAGCTTTCTCTGTATCTGTGCTATACCAGAAAACTCTTTCACTACCCACAGAAGACAACACTTATGACATACCTGACTGAGCCACAGCACTGCTGGCAACTTGAGGCTTCAAACTGGCTTCTAAGAGAGCAGGAGAAACAGTTACTACTGGTCCTGAGAACAGGGGACCTTTTAAGGTGAGCAGCTGCCCTTGTGGAGTCAACACGAGGTTCGCAGAAGTATGTGGAGTGTTAGAGGGTGAGGTATTTTCTGTAAGGAAGATCAAAAGTCAGTTAAGGATAAATGAACTTCAGCTAGGCCTAGTGTTTGTCCCAGTAGTCTAGGAGACATCCCTAAAACTCTATATTCTGTCTTAAAAGGCAAGAAGTAAAATTCAAATATAGTGAGGTAACCTCAACTTGGAATTTACTTTTTTGAACCATTTTTCACTTAGTAATGGTTACCTGTTCCACTGATTCTCCTAAGGGAGAGAATTTCTAATTTGCTGAGGTACATATGGCACTTCTTTTTCAATGGAATACTTAACGACAATTTCAGCCAATATAGCTAAATATTGCACAGTTATTCCAAATAATCAAAAGACAAGTTTAGGTCTTGATAGTGAGTAAGGATGTGGTAGAATGATGGCATATACAACTGTATCCCTAGGTTTGCTTTCCAATTACTTCAAGTATCTGTGTCTAGACTTCAGATTTCCTATCTATGAAATGAGGTGACTGAATTAAATTGGTCATTAAAATCCTTTCTTAGCAATACTGTTTGATTCTGCAATTTACAACTAAGTCATGTTTCAGTATCTACAACCCAGATTTTCTGGTTCATAAACTGTATTATCCAAAGAGTTAAAAAGTTTTAACACCATTCTCTAAGGACAACAGCCTCATTTCCAAAATGAAGATAGTAAAGAGTAAAAATTCAGAACCAATTTACTTTGTTCCTTGATACCAATCCATTAAATACGTTAGTAGTTTATGGGAAATACAGCCTCAATCAACAAAATTGTATTTTAAAAAAAATTCTCAATTTACCCATCTCAGTTAGACCCAAACTTCCTCAACCCATATGAAGAAATGCAGGGACATCAAGAGTTGACACATAATGTCTGAAAAGAGGACAGCTTAAAAAAATACAGAAACTTAGGAGGAAATTATTCAAACATCATTGTCAAGCACTATCAAAAGTGGGTCTTGACTGATAATTTCTTAGGATTTGCTGTAACATGTAAAGTCAGAAGTTAAAATCTAAAGTAGTTAATACTCATTTTGTAAATCTCATCTTTAATTCATTTAATTAAAACTAAAACTTTGGTCAAGAAAAGAAGTTTAGGCCACTAAACTAATATGATGTTTATCTACACTAAGGAAAGCAAAGAATGTCCCTCCTACCTGTGGCTTGGTCTCTTTTTCTGGAAAGAATCAAAGGTTTGCCCCTCCTGTTATTTATATACATCTGTCCGAGATCTACAGATGATGTAGAAGATCCTTCCTGTTGTTTGTTAGTTCTAGGAGATACATCAAATTCATCTGATCCCATCTTCTTTTTTCTTTTCTGGGCCTCTACTGCTTGTTGTTTGGCATATATGTACTCTAGCTTCTTCAGAACCACTTCTTCTGTCTTACCTTTAAGTTGATAGGAAATAAACTGTCACTCTATATGTGACCCCACATAATAATAAGAAAAAAATGTCAGCTGAAATCCAATTAATTTAACTATATCCCCAAAATTTGAAAGGCAGGAACGATTACAATCTAGAAGAAATATTTCCCCAAATGAGGAGAAAGCTCTGCTATAATCCTGGGGGCCAAGCATTAAGCTAAACGATATCTGAAAGATCTACCAAAGGTTCATGAAAACTGCTATAATGCTCTTTACCAGAGATCATTCACCCATCTCACCTGAAAGAGACGATACTTTACGTATCAAAATATTCCGTTTTCGAGTCAGAAGGTTTTTCTGTCCTATCAACTTGTCTGCCTGATCTGTTAGTCCCTGAATTTCACTGAATGCCTAGAAAAAATAGTAGTATCATGTCAATCATTTCACTCTTTCCTACAAAATTTCTGTAATGAAAATATTTTACATAATTTTATAATACCATTTAAAACAATTCTTGATGCTTCAGAAATTACTCGTTAAACTGCAGGAGGTTTTCTGACTTATACTTTTAGGGAACATAGGTCATGATTACACACCCACTCTTCACTGACTGAAATGGTTAGTCCTTGAAGACCAGGTCGTTATGCAACAAATGGCATGGTGTGAAAATGGAAGATAACTACATCAGATCCCAAATCAGGATGATGACTGTATCGTTACATAGCTGCCAAATCACATCATTACATCACTGCCAACCCACTGAGAATCATGGCCCAGCCAAGGTGACACATAACCCTATAACCATCTTGCCTAGCACCTCGGCATCCGTTACAGCCAAATGTACACCATTAATTTTAAAAACTCAGATATTAGATTTTATACTATCATCCTAAATGTGACATGTTGGATAATGAGATAGTTGGTAAGAGAGGTATATGTCCAAAGAGCATCACTGAGTGGTGATAAGCGTGTATTACTGATAAGGAGGTAAAAAGCATTTGCATTCTGCCTAGGTTTTAATAACCAAGTGTAAAATTACCTCCTAGTTTATGTAAATTCTGGTTGAAAATAGTTTTAGACTAGAATAAAACGAATGCTTACTCTGCACTGCTCCAACTTTAACTTAAAAGCAATTTAAATGATATTTCCTTAAATCCTCTACGTGTAAAGTTCTGCTAAAAAATTTCAGATTTTCTTTTAAAATAAATGCCAACTGCTGAGAAGTACATTAAAAATATCACTTCTCAAATTCACCAATAAATAAGCAAATTTTATTCTACTTATCTATTGATCACCATTGATTGATTACTTTGTGCTTTTCATCATTCTCAGACTATCAATATAAGTAGAGCATGATAAAGAGACCAGTCACTGACTGCATAATGATTTTCTCCATTAAGGAATTTACTGGGTATTCAACATACAAGTAGCTCTATTTCAATCTCCTTCAAATGGCAATGAATTTTCTTTCTCAAGGTATCAATAGAACTTAGGTGAGTAGCAACTGGGGTCTTAAAAGTTTATGAGCTGCCATCTAAGACACAACAACTGGTCTCTCCTTGTCTGGAGCAAAGAAGAATGAAGAAAGCTAAAAACATACAGGAAAAGTTTGTCCAAGGGACTAATGGATCATGCAAACCTCAGCCTAAATTTCCATGAGATCAGAAGAACTAGATGGTACCCAGCTACCACACTCTCAACCACTTGGAGAAGTATCAGTGCAGGAGATCCTGGATAGAGTGGGAGAAAAATGTAGAACAAAACTCAAGTCATAAAAAGACCAGACTTACTGATCTGACAAAGATTGGTGAAACCCCTGAGACTATGATCTCTAGTCACCCTTCAGGCCTGACAGGTATTGAATCCATTCCTGAGGCTTAACTTCCAGCCAAACAGGCAGGTTACAAGGTGAACAATTACATCAGGTAAGTACATTCAGAACAATTAACCATAGGAGAGCAGAAGGACAACATTTATGCAGGAAGATACTTTAGAAGGCAGGCATGCAGAGGAAACGAGGATACAGGAAAAGATAACCATAGGGAGGAAGTAGAGAGAGAGCTGTTACATTGTGAGGATAACAATCAATGTCATTAAACAAAATGTTATGAGCTATTAAATGGAAAATGAATTTGCTTCATAAACTTTCACCTAAATCACAGTAATTGAAAATAAAGTTATCTATACAAGATTTTCTTAGTCAAACTATTATTTGTCATTTACACAGAACACTTACCCGAGTGAGAATGAGACTTTTGGAAACCTTTGAAGAATGAAGTAATCCCAATGTGACCTTCAATTTCTCAAAGAGATCCCTCATTTCACCACGCCGCCTCCGCTCATTGGCAGTATGTGTCCGGCGATAATAAGCAAAAGCTTCTGCTTCTTTTTGCAATTTTTCATTCCAGTAATCAGGCTTCAGTTTTAGAGGAACTGGTGGAGCCTGTCCAAACAAAAGATTGCCCCCTAAACATCTTTCACATCTACTTCCTCTTTTCTATCACAAACAGCATCACTCTATTTCAGACGCCCACATTCTCCTGTTCGAATCCTTTCAAAGAATCTCTCAATTGGTCATCTTACTACCAGTCTATCCTGCCTCCAAATCTAATCTCAACAAAACCAACAGTGCAATTTCTAATACATGCTAATGTTATCGTAACACTTCACATCTCAAATTTTAGAGGTCCACTCAAATGAGGAAGAACTGGGGAGGGAGAGGACCTGAAAAAGCTTACTTGATACTATTATTTTGAAAAACATGTCTTCATGATACAAAACAAGAATGCAATCCCACACCTTGTTGCCATTACAAAGGCTACTTACTTACTGTCTGCACCTGGCTACTTACTTACTGTCTGCACCTGGATTACTCCTTCCGTTCACCCTGTCCTCTATAACACTTATCTAACATTAAAAACTCAAACTTTGCACTTTTTTTTTTTAGGAAAACCATTTTTGACCCTCAGAATGCTTCAGGCCTCCTTTCTCTATTTTATTTGTTTCTAAAATTATTTCTTTAAAACAAACTATAGGTACACATGGGTTTTAAAAAATAATGTATGCTGCACTGTACCCAGATCCTCAAAAACAACCACTTTTTGATTCTTTTAGCTGCTTCTTCTGATTCTTAAATCTGTATCCTGATCAAAAAGTTACACTCACTTTCTGCTAAGCAAGAGTAATTTAGCTCACTTACCCAATCTCTTACCTCTCTCTATTCCCCTCTAATATAAACATTTTACTGATTCCCTGTCCAATTCCAGTAATACAATTCTACCTTAATGTCTCAATAAGATAGTAGTACCTCTTCCATTTCCACTTTGTAAGATAAAGATTACTCACACTTGTATCCTTCCCTTTATTTTTTCTTCCTTCTTTTACCTCCCAATTTGTCATTTGTACTTACACATTTGTCAAGGCTACAGTTAAATGTTCTACCTTTTATTTAAAGGTTACAGAAGCTTTTAAAAAATCATTAACAGTGGCTATGTTATCATGACACTGTTATTACTGCTTATGGAAAGTGAATTACATTTCCTATTTTCTACAATTTCTTAGTTTTGTATTTTTTTTCACCTGGTAATTCTATCATTTTTTATCTTACATGGTTTGTCTTTAGAATAACCCAATTAGTACTCCAAAACTATTACGTAAATCATTATCTTTCTAAAGTTAAGTCCTCCATACATTAATATAGTGCATTAAATAGTATGGAAGAGTAAAAGATACAGTAAGATAGAAAAAAAATTAATTTAAATATAGATAAATACTGCAAATAATTTGCATCCAATAATTAGAGCACATAAAAAATTAGGAAAATCTAAGTAAGTTCTTATGAAGATTCTTATTTTATCTGAAAAATGCTTTAGGATAAATTTTTTTAAAATTTAAAATTTAAAATAAGATTACAACCATGCAAACATGTATCATATAAACCCCAAACCCAGATCAAAGCAAAACTAATCACTGTGTTTTTTGGAAACACCTGAATACCACCTTCCTCTTCAATTCAATCATCACTGTCTTTATCTTGCAAAGACAGAGTAACAAATGAGAAATGTTTTTAACAACTGAAGTCTCTTCCATTCCTCATGTTACTAAGCATAAATGGAAAACCTTACTTAAGTATTCTGCCATAACATATGCCTAACACATCAAGAGAATTAAAGGTTTATAATTTTGTGATCCTTGAACTGCAAGCCTTCATTAAAGTCATAAAAAAATCGTAAGCCTAGTCAAGGAAGAATGCCAGCTTGTTTTACATCAAACCATTAATTACATTATAGGATTAACTTTCAAATAAGCACATCAATTTTCATAAACTCCATATCCACTTTAACACCTCTAAGTTACTCTATTGGGGAGAGGGAGTACTAGAATTAAAAGAAAGGGGGATAAAATTATATTAGTGTAATTTCATTTAGAGGGAAAAAATGAATTAACTCATAAGTAAAAATTAATCCTGAAAAAAAAATCATACCTAATGTTCTTCTAACCCTAAAGACAAACGTTATCTATTTTATTAAATGAATAATTATCAAATGTATTATAAATACCTTTCGACTCCTTTCAGCAGTTTTCTCATCTGCAGAGATATGGGTATGGTACCTAGAAAAAGATCACAATTTCAAATGTCTTACTGAAATTCAATAACTGAAGACCTATGTCACAGCTATATTAAACCAAATCATTCCAAATTGTCTGAAGTGTAGGCAGATTCTTTCCCCTGAGATCCAAGACACCAGATGCCTTTGAGTTGATTCCAACTCATGATGACCCCATGTATTATCAGACTAGAACTGTGTTCCACAGGGTTTCCAATGGCTGATTTTCCAGGAAACCACCGTGCCTTTCTTCAGAAGCACCTGTGGGAGGATTTCAATTTCCAACCTTCTCGTTAGCAGTCAAATGCATTAACCATGCACACCACCCAGGACTCTAAGATCCAGTATCTGGTCATATTATTTATTCAACAATTTTTTTGTTCCTCTACATAGCCAAATACTTCCTGAAAATAAAAATTATCTCAAGACAAACAAAAATGTATGAATATATAATGAACACCCAGGTATGCACCACCCAACTTGAGACTAAAACATCTCAAAAGCAGGTAAGATAGTATATGTAGCTGCAAAAACAGCAAGAAGGCCACATGTTCTGACCTCCTCTAATCCCACAAGAGGAAGACAGCAGTAACCCAAGACCTATTACTGCAAGGCCAAACATGCTGCCTCCCTCCAGCCCTTTCACCAACCGTTACTCCCAAAGCACCCACCACCTCTCTCCTGGGTTCAATAATTCGCTGCAGTGGCCACACAGAACTCACAGATTACAGGGTTTATTAGGGAAGCACCAGGCTACAACTCAAGTTCAGGAAGAACGCTCAGTCTCTCTCCTAGCCCACCGTCCCTCAGCCAAGAGTCTCTCACAGTCTCTTTCCCAGCAGTGCGGGTCCCTTGGTGTCTCACTCAGCAATGCGTGTCTCTTGCGTCTCTTTCCCAGCAATGCGTGTCTCAGGAGCCCGTGTCTCTTTCAGCAGCACATCTTCTTCAACCAGCAGTCAGAGAGAGCTCTGCCTCCAGGAGGTCTCCTTTAGAGCCCACAGGGTGGTCAAACTAGCCAATTATAGCATCAGAACTCTAAGCACCTGAGAGAGAGTGGGCACCTCCCAGAACATTGTTTTGTGCCTCTCCCAACAGAAATATTCCAGGTGGACACCTTCAGCAATCAGGAGCTCTTCACTTGCTCACAGAAAATCTCACCTTGGAGTTTACAAAGACTTATGGGTAGAAAAGCCACACAAAGTAATTTACTACACTGCAGTAGCCTACCCAATCCTGCTTTCTTTCTCAAAGGTAAACACTCCCAAAACTTAGTTTACCATCAGTGTATCTTTACAGTTTTACTAGGAATGTTATGTATTCCCCTAAACAAAAAATACTATTATTTAGTAATATTAAAGGCGGTTCAAACCCACCAGCCACTCTTTGGAAGGAAGATGGGGCAATCTACTTCCTTAGTGATACTGCTTCGGAAACCCAAGGAGGGACTGCTATGAGTCTGGTCTGACTCAGCAGCACATACCCAACAACAACTATTCATTATTAATGTAATACTGTATATATCTTTCTTCAACTTCGTTTCACTATTATCTGAGATATGTTGACACATACAGTTCAATCACTTTAGCTCCTACACAGTATTCTACCATATGAGTTTTCCAATGTCTATTTTTTCCTTATGTTAATGTTGTTGTTGTTGTTGTTAGGTGCCGTCGAGTCGTTTCTGACTCATAGGGACACCATGCACAGCAGAACGAAACACTGCCTGATCCCGCGCCAGCTCCACGATCCTTGCTATACTTGAGCCCATCGTCACAGCCACCGTGTCAATCCATCTCATTAAAGTTCTTCCCCTCCTTCATCGACCCTCCACCTTACCAAGCATGACATCCTTCTCCAGGGAATGGTCCCCTCTGACAACATAACCAAAGTAGGTAAGACGAAGTCTGGCCATCCTCGCTTCCAAGGAGCAAATCAGCTGCACTTCCTCCAGGACAGATCTGCTAGTTCTTTTGGTAGTCCATGACACCTTCAGCATTCTTCACCAGCACCACAACTCAAAAGCATCAACTCTTCTTTGGTCTTCCTTATTCACTGTCCAGCTCTTACATGCATACGAGGCGACTGGAAATATCATGGCTTGTGTCAGGCACACCTTAGTCCTCAAGGAGACATCTTGCTCCTCAGCACTTGAAAGAGTTCCTTTGCAGCCGACCTGCCCAGTGCTACACATTATCTAACGTCCTGACTGCTGCTTCCACTGGCCTCAATTGTAGAACCAAGCAACGTGAATTCTTTGACAACCTCAATCTTTTCTCCATTTATCGTGATGCTGCTTATTGCTTCAGTTGTGAGGAATTTTGTCTTCTTTATACTGAGATGTAATCCATACTGCAGACTGTGTTCCTTAATCTTCATCAGTAAGTGCCTCAAGTCATCCTCACTTTCAGCAAGCAAAGTTGTATCATCAGCATATCTCAGGTGGTTAGTGTTCCTCCAATCCTGATGCCACATTTTTCTTCATATAGTCCAGCTTCTTGGATTATTTGCTCAGCATATAGATTGAATAAGTATGGGGAAAGGACACAACTCTGGCGCACTCCCTTTCTGATTTTAAACCATTCAGTGTCCCCTTCTTCCGTTCGAACGACAGCCTCCTCGTCAAGGAACAGGTTCCTCATGAGTACAATCAAGTGTTCAGGAACTCCCATTCTTCTCAATGTTATCCATAATTTGTCATGATCCACATAATCAAATGCCTTTGCATAGTCAATAAAACACAAGTAAACATCTTTCTGGTATTCTTTGCCTTGAGCCAAGATCCATCTGACAACAGCTATGATATCCCTTGTTCCACGTCCTCCTCTGAATCCAGCTTGCACCTCTGGAAGTTCTCTGTCAATATACTGCTAGAACCATTTTTGAATTATTTTCAGTAAGATCTTACTTGCATGTGATACTAATTACAGTGTTCGATAACTTCCACATTCTGTGGAATCACCTTTCTTTGGAATGGGTACAAATACGGATCTCTTCCAGTCAGTTGACCAGGTAGCTGTCTTCCAAATCTCTTGGCATAACTGAGTGAGTGCCTCCGGTGCAGCATCCATTTGTTGAAATATCTCAATGGATATTCCATCAATTCCTGGAGCCTTGTTCTTCGCCAATTCCTTCATTACAGCTTCGACTTACTCCTTTTCAGTACCATTGGTTCTAGATTATATGCCACCTCCTGAAATGGATGAAGATCGACCAGTTCTTTTTGGTACAGTGATTCTGTATTCCTTCCATCTTCTTTTGATGTTGCCTGCATCATTCAACGTTTTGCCCGTAGAATCTTTCAATATTCCAACTCGAGGCCTAATTTTTTCTTCAATTCTTTCAGCTTGAGAAATGCCAAGTGTGTTCTTCCTTTTTGGTTTTCTAACTCCAGGTCTTTGCACATTTCATTATTGTAATTGGCTTTGTCTTCTCAAGCTGCTCTTTGAAATCTTCGTTTCAACTCTTTTATCGTGTCATTTCTTCCATTTGCTTTAGCTATTCTCCGCTCAAAGGCAAGTTTCAGAGTCTCTTCTGTCATCCATTTTGGTCTTTTCTTCTTTTGTTGTCTTTTTAGTGACCTCTTGCTTTCTTCATGATGATGCTCTTGATGTCATTCCACAATTCATCTGGTTTCCGGTCACTGGTGTTCAATGCATCAAATCTGTTCTTTAGATGGTCTCTAAGTTCAGGAGGGATATATTCTAGATCATATTTTGGCTCCCATGGACTTGTTTTTAATTGTCTTTAACTTCAATTTGAACTTGAATACGAGCAGTTGATGGTCTGTTCCACAATCAGCTCCTGGCCTGGTTTTGGCTGAAGATATTCAGCTTCTCCTTTGCCTCTTGCCACAGATGTAGTCAATCTGATTCCTGTGTGTTCCATCTAATGAAGTCCACGTGTACCAGCCACCGTTTGTGTTGCTGAAAAAAGGTGTTTGCAATGAACAAGTCGTTGGTCTTGCAAAATTCTACCATGCGAATTCCAGCATTATTTCTGTCGCCAAGGCCAAATTTTCCAACTACCGGTGATTCTTCTTTGTTTCCAACTTTTGCATTCCAGTCACCAGTGATAATTAACACAACCTGATTTCAAGTTCAGTCAATTTCAGACTGCAGAAGTTGATAAAAATCTTCAATTACCTCATCTTTGGCTTTGTTGGTTGGTGCATAAATCTGAATAATAGTCATATTCACGGGTCTTCCTTGTAGGCGTATGGATATTATCCTATCACTGACAGCACTGTACTTTAGGACAGATCTTGAAACATCTTTTGTGATGATGAATGTCACACCATTCCTCTTTAAACTGTCGTTCCCAGCATGGTAGATCATAAGGTTGTCTGATTCAAAATGGCCAAAACCAGTCCATTTCAGCTCACTAATGCCTAGGATTATCAATCTTTATGTGTTCCATTTCATTTTTGACAACTTCCAATTTTCCTAGATTCATACTTCGTACATTCCATGTTCTGATTATTAATGGATGTTTGCCGCTGTTTTTCCTCAATTTGAGTGGTACGATGTCAGCAAATGGAGGTCTCGAAAGCTTTACCTTATCCATATGAGTAAGGCTGATTTTACTCTGATAATGCAGCTCCTTCCCAGTCCTACTTTGAGAGCTTTCTGAGCTAACTGACTCATCCTCCTCCTCTGTATTGGACAATGTTTCCGGACTCTTCATAAATTTGCGCAGTAATGTATCAGACAGTGTTTCTCTGCTATTCATAAGGTTTTCCCTGGCCAATTCTTTGAGAAGTGGATGGCCTCCTCCTTCTTCCTAGTCTGTCTCAGTCTGCAAGCTGGGCTGATACCTGTGCAACAGGTGTACCCCATTGGGTTTGAAACACTAGTGGCACAGCCTTAAGACTCACAGCAACATGTCACCACAGTAGGACAAATCGACAGACAAGTCTGTCTTCCTTAGCTGTTGGAAACCCCTCCAACCACCCTTACCTAGATCCCTGCACCTAACTCCTCGATCTGTTCCAGTCCCCTTTGCCTTTTCTGTCCTCTCCCTGCTTTCCACCTCGCTGCTTGTGGGGGGTGGACTGGGTTCCCTCTCCTCACCTGGCTCCCTGCGGTTGACTCCTTGATCTGTTCCTATCCCCTTTGCCTTTTCTATCCTCTCCCTGCCTTCCCAACTCACTCCTTATGGGGAGTGGCCTGGGTTCTCTGTCTTTACCTGGGTCCCTGAGGCTGACTCCTTGATCTACTCTGGTCCCCTTTGCCTTTTCTGTCCTCTCCCTGCTTCCCGCCTCACTGCCTGTTCTTAGGTCCCTGGAATCTGAATGAGAATGCTATCACTTTAAACATCCACAATGGCCACTGCTTGTAAACATTCAAAATGGCTGCACCCTGGGTCATTTTAAATACACAATGGCCGCCACTATAAACATTCAAAATGGCTGCACCCTCAGTCACTTTAAATATCCAAAATGGCTACCGCTTGTAGGTACATTCAAAATGACTGCACCCTCTGTCACTTCAAATATCCAAAATGGCTGCCACGTGTAAACAATCAAAATGGCTGTGCCCTCTGGACAAACAAGGTTGTCAGCAGGGGGGAAAAAAAAAAAGAAAATCTGCAATATCTGGGGATAGGGCAATAAGAGAAAAAAGCAGAGAAGGAGAATAATGAAAAAAAATGGGAAAAATGCAAAGAGAAAACAAGGAATGAGGTTAATCACTAGAAAAAAAAGAAGAAAAAAATTTTGCAACCAGGAACAGGGCAAAGAAAAAAAAGCTGAAAAAGGTCAAAAGTATTAATAATAGTAATAGTTTTTAAACAAACAAAAGCAAGCAAACTAAAAAACAGAGAAAAAAAAGAAAAAAGAAAAAAAATCGGGGGAGGGCAGGGCAGGGCACCCAGGCTCTGACCAAGCACACAGAGTGTTATGTTAATAGTAAATGTAAATTACTATGATTTCCAAATTTTCACAATGACAAACATTTGTTGTAACAGATAGTCCCACACATAACCACCTCTGTATTAAGCATAAGCTTTTCTAGGTTATAGACCTAGGAGTAGAATTGATGAGAGAGAGAAAAGCATTTGAATCTTTAACTGCAGTAGATGTCAAACTGCTCTCCAAAGCAGTTTTAACAAGGGCAGTTAGGTGAGAGTTCCCACAGCTCCACACCTTTAATAATAGTACTATCAAAAAAAATCTCCATTTTTGCCAGCCTTGTATGTGAATTGGTAAAGTCACTGTAGTTTGAATTTGCATTTCCCTAACTGCTTGTGAGGCTGAACATCTCTGCACGTGTTTACTGGCCTTTCATGTTACTACTTCTGTGAACTGTCTGGTGATAATCATTACATACTTTTCTACTATATCTTTTTCTGATTTGTAACTTTTTTTATATGCTTGATACTAATCCTTTTTCAGTTAAATATATTGTTTAAATATTGTCCTTATAGTCTGAGTTTGCCTTTTCATGGTGTTCTGATAGAAATTTTTATTTTATTTTGAACAATCTGTTCTTTTACAATTTGTGCTTTGTGTGGGTTATTCTTGGACCTTTATTATTCCAATGTATTAACATAGTATCTGCATTTACTGAATTTCTTCTTAAATGTTTTTCAATAAAATTTTATAAAAGTCTCAACACAGTTTTCCTCAGGTTGTTATTAGTTTTTGTTTTTTTTTCAAATCACTGTAAATGACTTTTAAAATATATTTTCTGCCTGTTGCTATTGTTTAATAAATCAATTTTAGTATGCTGTTGGTGGTGTATGTCGTTAAGGCAATTCTGACTCATAGCAACCCTATAGGACAACCCTATAGCAGCCTGATAGGGTTTCTTAGGCTGTAATCTTCTTTATTTTATTTGTTTCATTTTAAGAGCTTGTTTTACATTTAACATTACGTGCACATTTAGTTTCACTCCCCATTTACCATGTCCAACCCTAATCCAGTCTACTCCACTCCCAAACCTATAACCCTCTCCATGTGCCCCTCCTATTTATGCACTCCTGTTTGTCCTGTATTTCCTTAGTTTGAATGTTGGTCCTCTGGTGCCCCGTGGTCTATTGCTCTAAGGGATGTATTACCATAGAGTATGTGGGTGTGTCATCTGGGTTGAGTGGTCTGTGTGTACATCTTGTTAACTACTGCGCTAAGAGCCAGCTCCTAGGGGTGAGTTTTATTCCAGAAGTAGAATATATTCCAGGGCCACAGTATTGGGGGTCTCATCAGATTTTATCTGACCAGTAATTCTGGTCATTACTGAGTTTTTGGATTTTGTTCCACGCTTCTCCTTCCACTCTATCCAGATACCCAGATTTGATCCTTTCCTGAGTGGCCAGGCACCATCTAGTTCTTCTGGTCTTGAGGGCCATCGTGTCCTACGGATGACTGCTTCCAAATGCCCTTCTATTTTTTATTTGCATTCTTCTTCGCTTCTGATGCTAGGAGACTATTAGCTGCATCTCAGATGACCACTTGAAAGCTTTTAAGATCCCAGTTGCTACTCACCAATGTGGGATGCAGAACAAGGCTTTTATGTATTTTGTTGTGCCAACTGAGTCTGCTGCTCCCCCAGTACTATGGTGCTGAGATGGTAGATCTATTGGATCTCTCTCCCATAATGTCTGGGTTGTCTGTGAGGGATTATTCTGTGTCTATCTTCTATTGTTTCTGTAAAGATTGCTGGTATTTTACATCACTGGTGTCTATGCAAGATTAGCCTCAGCTGAATCTATCCTTAGTCTAGAGTATACTCCTGTTCACTGACCCCCACCTGATCCTCTCTAGTGTTTATGTGTTTAGGCTGGAATCTTTATGAGAGCAGACTGCTAGGTTCTCTTTTCCTACAGAGCTGCTGGTGGGTTTGAATCACCAAACTCTCAGCAGCCAAGTACATACCTGTTGCACCACTGCAGTGTAGTAAATTACTTTGTGTGGCTTTTCTACCCATAAGTCTTTGTAAACTCCAAGGTGGAATTTGCTATGAGCAACTGAGGAGCTCCTGATTGCTGAAGGTGTCCACCTGGAGTGTTTC